AAAAAAAAAAAAAAAAAAAAAAGAAAAATAGATTTGGAGATAGAGTTTCAAACATGATTAAATTATATGGAAAATCTCCATCCTAGACTATCTCCCTGCAAAAGGTTTTCACTTCCCTGGATTAGGAAGTTTTAGGGATCCCTGATCCCTAAAACTCTACCAATTAAAAATTGAATTGAGATTAAAATATTCTATTCTATAGTTTTCCAAATCTTCTACAAAAACAATATATTTATAATAAAAATAACACATTATTTAAAAATGCCAATGAAGTAGTAATTTTAAAATCCCCTGATAAATTAGTTCAATCAGATTGCTTTCCTCAAAATCTAAATAGCTGATACCCATTGCACTGCAGGAATAAAAATTTTGACCAGGGGACAGAAGAAGAAAATTTTTATGACCAGTGAGGGATGGGCAGAATAAGAGATTTATGATATCATGAAAATAATAGAAGGATAAAGAAAAAAGGTGGAAGCAAACAAAACTAAACCAAACAAAACTCTTCAACTATTACAGAATTCTGCCTAGCGCTTGTCTGATACCAGAAAAGGAAAGGAAACTATCCCCTTCTCTACCCTTCAATGAAGATGGGGTATCCTACCCAGAAGGACGCAAAACTAAGGTCCATTGTCTAGCTCCACAGAGCTACTTTGAGATTTATAATGCAGTGTCTATGGGGACAAAGACTCATCAAGTTTTTTTTTTTTTTTAAGGACTGATCAAGTTTTTAAGAACACAATTCATTCATAAATTGGGGACTATTTATGATGGTTTAACCACAAATCAAAGTCTTCTTACGTATATGAGATGGAAAGGGTTCTAATCATGCAAATAAAATGCAAGCTATCAGTATAATAGAACACTATTCTGCTATTATTGTCATATTAAAATATCAAAGATGAAGGTCTGAAAATCTTTTTCATGTCCTTATAAAATAAGTACATGTAATGATATACAAATACATTAAGACTTTTATAGTCCTGATAAACTGCAATTCCACTTTTTAAGTAACTGGGAACACTGGATTATCTAATTAATGCAGTGGCTTTCAAACTTCTATAGCTTGTAGAACCCTTTGGCATCACTTTTCATGTCATGGAACACCAATCCACGGCATGTTGGGACTGGGACTGGGGTGAACACACGTTTTATCCTGATTATATTTATTTTTAATACACTTACAGAAAGGTGTTGAAATGCTTAGGTTCCATGGAAGACAATTTGAAAACCACTGATAAAGAGGATAATCTTTGGTCTTCATATACTTTACAACATAAATTCACACTAGAAAAACTTATATACCTTCCATATCAGGAGGAACAAGGTGATCACAGCAGAGAAGACAGATGAATCAAAGAAAGTAAGCAATAGGCCTGATCAGGTTTTTAGGGTGCCTAATTAAAAAGTCAGAATTGAGTCATACAAATCCTTCAAATACCACTTTAAAGTGATGGGCAAGTTAGCAATGCTGTTCTCTTGACTGAAAAGTGTTAGTGAAATATCAGAAGTCACAAATATGGCTTAACGAAGAGCATTTTCCTTATTCACAACACCTAGGAAGAATGGACATATAAAGAGTCAGGTTGCAATCAAGGCTTATCAGTATGTAAATGTAATTCCCCATCCATTAAAGGGAAAAAAAAAATCACAATTTTCTGAGTACCTACTATGAAGCCAACAGTGTGTTAGGCACTTCATCCTCAACTCACTTTCAAAGTAAGCATTATTTTACACTAAAATTCCAAGGAACAAAGACATTAAATAACCTGTCCAAGTTCATACAGTTTTAGCGGTGGATCAGAAATGAGAGCAGCTGCTTTTCTGCTGGCATTGAAAAAAAGAATAAGAACTGGGAGTCATTCCTAAGTCCATGCTTGTATCAGTAAGCCACAGTTCCACCTGAGAGCATACCAGATTGAACAGAGACTAAAGGGAGCGTACTAACCTCATGACCAACAAATATATGAATGAAAAGCAATCTGATATCATCATTTAGCCCTAGATTAACAGATCATGGATTGTTCTTAAGAAGCTAATTTTAACGCCTCTAAATATATCTTTCTTTCATTCAAACGAATTATTTCTTTTTATGTCCATATGCTGTGGTGGACACAAACAGATTTTCACTTATGGGTGCTTAAAATTTCTATTTATACCTATCTGTTTTTTCTAACTAGGTTCTTTGTAACTGTGTAGCAGTAAGATACATATTTACTTGAACATTAGTTTAACAATCCTGACTCAACCTAGTAGACTACTGATAACAAAGGCAGAGGAAAACAGAAGAGCACTGATTAATTTTTCTACCCTAACTTCCAGGTAAGACCCACTCTGAACATTTTCCTTCGGCAAAGTTACATGATAGCTCCCTACATGTGAACACCCACCCACATAGTCTACTCTCCCTCCAATATCTTCAGAGAAACGATCTTCACTGAAAATTATAGTTCAATACAAAAGACAATTCCAAATTCTACTTACACATCATTTCTACTTTTAGGATATGGGGGAGTTGGGGAGGGTAGGGGCAGGACTGACAGCACAGAGGGAGTCTAGTGAATGTTCAGAGTAAAAAGATTATGACAAAAATAGAAGTAGTCAACTTTTTAAAAAATTGTCTCTCAAAGTTGAATTAAGATGTGGTTTCCCTTCTTAAAGATAATACTTATGACAGATTCTCAACATTATTATCTCTAGACCCCAATTTGAGAAATACAGATTTAATACACTAAAATCTTGTAAGAAAATGTCTTTCATTCATGATTGTTTCTATTTAAGAGTCCTTCTGCCTTATATTTTTTAAAGTTAGCATTAGAAATGAAACCATAGGCTCGGCGCCTATGGCTCAAGCGGCTAAGGCGCCAGCCACATACACCCAAGGTGGTGGGTTTGAATCCAGCCCAGCCCGCCAAACAACAATGACGGCTGCAACCAAAAAATAGCCGGGCGTTGTGGTGGGTGCCTGTGGTCCCAGCTACTTGGGAGGCTGAGGCAGGAGACTCGCCTGAGCCCAGGAGTTGGAGGTTGCTGTGAGCTATGATGCCATAGCACTCTACCCAGGGGGATAGCTTGAGGCTCCGTCTCAAAAAAAAAAAAAAAGAAAAGAAATGAAACCATAATGGGCAGCACCTGTGGCTAAAAGGAGTAGGGCACCGGCCCCATATGCCAGAGGTGGCGGGTTCAAACCAGCCCCAGCCAAAAACTGTTTAAAAAAAGAAAATGAAATGAAAACATAAAATTTTTAAGATCTGTGAACTTTTTTGATTTTGTTTTTATTTTACCCTTATCCTTTATGTGATAACATTCACCAATTTCTTTCTTTCTTTCTTTTTTTTTTTTTGAGACAAGTATCTCACTATATTGCCCTCAGTAGAGGGCTGTAATATTACAGCTCACAGCAACCTCTAACTCTTGGGCTCAAGCGATTCTCTTGCCTCAGCCTCCCAAGTAGCTGGGACTACAGGCGCCTGCCACAATGCCCAGCTACACTTGTTGTTGTTGTAGCTGTCATTGTTTCACAGGCTCAGGCTGGGTTTGAACCTGCCAGCCTTGGTATATGTAGCTGGCGCCCTAACCACTGAGCTATGGTTTCTTTTTTTATTTTGAGACAGAGTCTCAAACTGTCCACCCAGGATAGAGTGCCATGGGATCATCATAGCTCAGAGCAACTTCCAACTCTTGGGCTCAAGCAATCCTCTTGTCTCATTTTTTCTATTTTTAGTAGAGACAGGGTCTTGCTCTTGCTCAGGTTGGTCTCAAACTCCTGAGCTCAGGCAATCCACCTGCCTCAGCCTCCCAGAGTGCTAGGATTACAGGCATGAGCCACTGCGCCCGGCAGTACATTCACCAATTTCTAGAAAATCTAAGGACCTTTATTTCAATAACATTTGGATTTGAAAATTATTCTTAAATTAAACTTACTTTTGTAATCTATTTCTCTTCTCTTATTCTCTCTGTAGAGTCATTTCTATTTTTACAGCCAGAATTACACAATTAAGGTAAGATAAAAATAAGACATTTAAAAATAATTCATTTTTTACTAACAAAAAACTACTGGCTAAAAATAAACGCCAAACACCTATAAACCTATAAGAGGTTTTAAGGATTAGATATGAAAGCTTCAACTTAATCTATAACTTATGTTTATTTCTGCACCAAGATAAATGTCACCTTTACCTTGGTGTTTTCTTCGTTTTGATGAAGGTTCATCTCCCTCAGAGCTCATGACGTAACTAGAGAGATGAATCAAAGATGTCTGGCTTAGGTTGTCAGATCTCCAGTTATAGTACTGAAACTGAGTTCTAGATTCAAACAAACAAGGTGGTCGCCAATTTAGTGAAAAATGCCTACTACTGAAGTATGGGTAAGGAGCACGAGAATAATGTCCAGGCCACCTCATACAACTAGAAATATGTCTGTTCCAGCAACATCTCTGTAGATTCTCCCACGGTGTAGTCCAGTCTCTGCCCAGACTCTTCAGGTGATGGGGAAACGTGGGGTATCTAAAAGAAATAAATACACTCCTTAAGGCACCACTTTTTGTTCAGCCATAGGACACAAAATCTAAAAACAGTGTATTTCCTCAATGGAAGATAATGTCTATAAGATTAAAATGGTGAATTCTAAATCTGTGAAGCACAAAGGGAAAAAGCACCTATGATTTAATTATTGGCATCAACACCTCAATATTCTTTCCCTAAACAACCATGACTGGTGCTCTAAATACTTAACACAGAATGCCACCCAGACTGCCAAAATACCACACACCTCTCAAAAAGTCCACTCGACCACCAAACTGGTATTCAAAACAGCTTTCTACCCCCTAATAAAACGCAGCAAGAAAATGAAATCCCTGGCAAACATAATACTAAAAACAAATATGGAACACATACTGGACTACAATTATGCAAATCTCTCCTCCCACTTGCATTTGGAATAAAAAACATGTTTTGAACAGTTTTTTAAACCAAAGTTTGATTTTTCCAAACACTGGCACAACTGGGAAAACAAAATCCTATCACGGGCAAACAAAATCCTATCACAACTTCACAAAACTACTTCCTTTGCTAATCAGTGGATGGATAATTTATTTCTCCATTCTTTTTTTTTTTAAAGCACACTTCTCCTTGAGGTAAATGAAAGAGGATAGGAACCATTACTAGGAATGTACCAACACTCCAAACCTAACGGCTTCAATTTAAGACACCACCCAAAATATCTCCAAGATAACGCTAAAATTATTTTTAATAGATATATTGCTCTCAGGTTCTCAAGAAACATTGCAGCTGAAGCATCATCTTCTTACTCAACTACTTTGGCAAAATGTTAAGATTCAGAGGACTTCTTTCCTCCAGAATTCATTACAGGTGTATTTCAAAGACATTATCAATAATGTTCACGTCTATCCGTACAGGAATTTTGCTTAATTGCATTTAGTGCTATTTGACTTTTACACATTAGTTTTGGGCTTTTTTTTGCTTGTTTTAACAGCATTTTTAAACTTTTGCAGCTTCTGTATTGGCAAAATGTTCCATAAAACGTACTTAATTGTAACTCTTTACAGACATTAAATGAGCCCTCTAACCTGCTTTATGACAACTCTGCATAGTGCCCAGGAATTTGGGCACTAGGACCATGCATTTTCTGTCCTAACAAGGTACTGTGTGAAAATATAATACTTTTACTACAACACTCATTCTCTATACTTGTAGTTATTTATACGGATTTTTTTCCTCTTAAGATATTAGGCGACTTCAGGGCCAGAGCTTTCTTATTCATTTTAATTCCAGTTTCTTCACAAGTGCCTAACACAATGCCTGGCAAACATCTGGTACTCAGGAAACACTGTTGAATTGAATTGTCATCAAGTCCCAAGCCTACTGGAGCTCAAACCAGATCCCCATGACTTATGTAATAACTAATACAATGCTGTGTTTCCCATGCATGGTGTGTGGTACACCAACCAGCTGGTTTCAGAGGGTACACAATTAACATCTAAGTACTAACTTCAAAGTTTCTTAGGAAAAAACCCATAATCAGTACATAAAGCCCAAGATCTTGCAAACACTGTTTAGGGCGACACTAATGCACCTATTGAAGTGCTTAAAAAAAAAAAAGTGAATCAATTTAAAGAAATATACCCAGTAAATAATATAGGGGGAAGGAGAACTTGCCCATAACCATGAGGATTGGTATACAAGTGACTGAAGTTTGAGAGAGACTAACACCAACAAAACACAAACCCCTCCTGGCGTGAATGGAACACGCGCGCCTCCCTCGGGGTCAGGCGCGGGGACCGACTGCGGACAGGCGGCCTCCCCGCGGGCAGGCGGCTCCGGAACGGTGCAGCGGAGTCTGGGGAGCAGGCCGGGGCCGCTTTGGAGGTTGGGTTGGGGACAGTGGGCCGGGGCTGCAAGGCCACTGGAGCGGGTCGGGAAGGCACAGGCCTGCCCAACGGCCAAGGAACTCCGTGTCAGGCCCCAGACCTGGTCGGCCCAGCGCTCCGCCGGCTGACCGCCGGGTTTACCTATCCATCAGGGTCTCCGGAGGCGCGTCCCGGATGCACCGCGGCTCAGACCCTCTTTCTCCTCCTTCCTCCCCAGCCTGCCCCGCCCCAGGTTAATCTCGGCCGCCCGCCCCTCTCTCCTCCCTCTAGGCATCCAGCCCTACTGACCGGCCTCTTCCCACCACACAGCGGCCGTAGCCTCTCCTCACACAGCGCCACGCTTCCATCTTCCCAGTCCGCAGAGGTCGGGTTCTCTGGCCCGGATTCCGCCTCAATCTTTATAACTGACGCGGCGGCCTAAAACACCGAGGGGACCCCCCATCACTCGACGTCTCCACTCCGGGTCCGGCTGCAGTGCATGCTGGGAGGTGCAGTCTCGCCGCTGGCTGAGTCTCCATCTTGCCCAACTGAAGTTCCTGAATTGCCTTAACCCTGAATTGCGTCCTAGGAGCATGCGTGCGAGGCGGGTAGTACGCAAGAACAGCCATCTTTAAATAGGGCAGATTACCCGACCTCTGTCTTAAAGAGAAACAGACACATTTTCTGGATAGGCCTGGGCAGTTTAAGTGCTCTGCATTTAATGTATGAGAGCTAGGAAGGAATAAATATTATTTTCGAGTATTTTTATAACGTATATGGGGAGATTCAAAAGGTGGATACTGAAGCTGAAAAACTCCATTTCTGTGGGTTTCCATGAAACTGAGGCCCGACAGATTTTTTTTTTTTTTTTTTTTTTTTTTTTTTTGAGACAGAGCCTCAAGCTGAGCCCCTGGGTTGGCTTCACTGCTCACAGCAACCTCCAACTCCTGGGCTCAAGCGAGTCTCCTGCCTCAGCCTCCCAAGTAGCTGGGACCACAGGCGCCCGCCACAACGCCCAGCTATTTTTTGGTTGCAGCCGTCATTGTTGTTTGGCGGGTCCGGGCTGGATTCGAACTCGCCTCCTTAGGTGTATGTAGCTGGCACCTTAGCCGCTTGAGCCACAGGCGCCGAGCCGGCCCGACAGATTTTTGCAATTAATTTTCCGAAAAAAAGGTCCATAGAGCTCTTGTGTGTCCACCTCTATAAAATCTAGTATAAGTTCGGTGGCATTCTTCCTTTCTTTTGGGGGGATACCAACCCATTCTCTGTTTTTCCTCTCTCCCCCTCCTTATCCCTCTCTCAAATATAAAATAAACTTATACTTTTATATTCTAATCTTGGCCTAGAGAAACTCCTTTCTCGTCCTGCACACAATACCAAGTGAGCAACTGAGCTTTTCCCCACACCTACCGTTTGGCGGCCTGTACGGGGAGGTAAACTGAGCCACATCTCTACCGCCATAGGAGGAGCTTACTCTTCTCTTTCTAAGCTGCTCTGTCCTTTAAACATTTTTTAAAGAAAAAAAAAATGTAGTATAAGATTCAAGATTCTTAGAAAGCATGTAAGTGGAGACCCCTTCAAGAAACAGAAAGAGGGAAAAACCTAGGAAGGATAAAGTGGAGCGAGAACAGGGGAAAGGAAACAAGAAGGCAGGATGATTGCGTTTATAGTCTCTTTGAAAGAGTGGTGGAGTAATTACTTAGGAAGGCTTTTATTCCCCCTTGCGTTTGTCAGGAAATCAGATGCATTTGAAACACACTTTTTCCTCTTGGTATGTAATTGATTATTCTTATTTGTGGTAGTTACACTCTAAAAGCTTAGTGGGAATACTGCATTAGCAAATACTGAACCATTGCCCCTAAGGGAAACGCAGGGTTAAGTTCCTGCGAACCTCTGGTCACATTTC